CTGTCACAAAATAACAGCTACAAACACATACATCTAGGTTAAGGATTAACATAAATAACTTGTGCCCTTCTAACAGATGAGGGGATTATATGGTATCCTATTGTGTAGGCAGTACATAATCAACCTCATTTCTTTTAGACAAAAGCTAAATTTGAGGCCTGAATTATTACTTCTTCCCTAATGATAAAAGACAGCTGCATAAGGCAAAATATGCAGTGATGTCTGAGCACAAAAATGAGTGCAACTCTCAAAAGGCTGTGCAAAATTCAAAGAGGAGCAGTAAATACTCCTGTTTAAGGGAAATAAAAATTGAGACATCTATTACTTTTATTAGAACTGATTTTGATATCTCACTCCTCTCCTGCCTTTGGATTCTGCTGCTTCTTCCTGAGACTAAATAGATTTGTCTGCTAATGAGACACCTCAGGATGCAAAATTACCTGCAAAATGGTCCTTCTCCCTGGGAGCTTCCCAAGCCCATGCTCAGAGTCACCATTACCATAAGCTCCAGAGCAATTCCTGAGCTTGGGATTCAGGAGATGCACACAGTAATGCTGCTGTTGGAGGGAGTGGAAATCAGAGTGCACAAGGTCAATTTTCATGCATCTGAAGAGACACTTTTCTCAGCACTGTTTTTCAGGAAGATACAGGCTTTCAATTAGGTAAGGCCTGAGGTTTCCTCTCCAGGTCATACAGAAACTTTCCCGTGCAGTTCCCTGAAAAATGCAGTTACAGAGCACACCTGCTATAGGGCAGGGTGGCTCACACACACTTGATGGTTTATGAAAAATATTATTACTTTAAAATGATGCCTCAGGTTTGATGTAAACATTGAGAAAAGAGAGTGAGAGACAGAGACTCACATCTTCTTTTATGGACTTGTACAGTGTTGTTTACAAATTATCAATTCACTAGTAAGATCCCATCCTTCCATGATGCCAGCTGATGTTTGCAGGGCTGCCAGACAGAGGGGAAAAAATGGAAATAAGAAGTATAAACCCCTGGGTGTTATGATGCTCTATTTTACAGAGTCACTGCTTCAGAAATGAGATGACAACAAAATAGATTCAGTTTTGGCTACTCTATTATAAAAAAAAAAAGAAAAAAAGAAAAAAAAAAAAGTCCCCAAAAAAGAGAGAGGCAAAAAAACCAATTAGAGACAAAGAAATGTCTGGAAAAAGACAGAACATATGGGAATTCCTCTGTCTATACTGGAGAAAAATAACGCAGGAAATTATAAAAAAAAATACATATCAAATGACAAATTGCAAAAGGACAAGTAAAGCAGAAATTTCTGTAAATGTGTCTGTACAGAGCTTATACTGCTGACTGTGCATTACAGGTATTCCTTGGTCTCCATTTAAGGAAGAGATAAATGGCTGTGGTCAGAAGTGAAGCAGATGTTGGCCTTGAGCAACCTACAGCAGTCTGTGCTTCAGGTTCCAGAGATGCCTGAAGAAACACCAACATGTCAGCCAAGGCAGTGGTCACCTGCTTTATTTACTGAATTGTTTTTGACAACTTCGTGGCACTTTCTTTTGTTTTTAACACTTCTGAGCACTGACCAATGTCAGTGACATCTTGAATGAGATGGGCCAACCTGGAGCTACAGCTCTGCATCTCCTGTGCTGGTGGTACTAGTACTCTCAAATATTATTTCTGTAACTTCTCCCAGACTCTGTCAAGCAGGTTCCTGTGCATTGCTTGAGCCAAGTGCAGGTTTCCACTGACCATTTCAATATCCAGCTTGCAGAGCTCCAAGTCCAAGATAAGACCATGTCCATCCAGACGATGTGTCATGAAGAGGCCCCTATACTGCATGACCTGCAGCCAAAGCCACTTCCAGAATCAACTAAACCAGAGCAGCGATGTAAACCCAGCCATACATTTGTAGCCAGAGCAAAAGCATACCAAGTCCCCCAAGCTATGGGCTGAGAGCAGGACCAGCCAGTAAGCACCTGTACTCTGCTCAGCCTTCCCAGTTTGTGCTAAACCAAGAAAGTGCAGGGTGCCAAATCTAGAAAATAAGGTCATGAATCAACTAGGGGGAAGAGTAATAGTATAGCTGAGGATTCAACTCATTAAAATATGAATTAAGCTAGGTTAGATTTATAACTAAGGTGGGGGAAATCAAACTGCATTTTTATTCCTCAAATTAGAGTTTACCTATGGTGACAAAATTCAGAGGAGGAAGAGGATGCTGCTGGCCTGCCTCTGCCTCAGCCCCTGCAGTCCAGCAGTAGCTCTGCCTGCAGTCCAGCACTGCCTGCCACACTCAACCCAAACACCCCTTTCTTGTTTGCTCTCACTCTGACATTGCTCCAAGGGCACTAAATGGCCAGCTCTAATTGGAGGATGACATACCTGCAGCAGTCTGAAAGGCTGTAAGAATAAATATATGGGCTTAAAAATAGGTGTTACTATTTTCTGTAATGTGAATGAATGGGGGGTTTTGTTTGTTTTTGTTGGGGTTTTTTTGCTTGTTTTTTTCTTTTTTTGTTTTGTTTTGTCTATGGTACTAAGCATTGGAAACAAACTTTTTCCCAAGGAGAGCTCTTTAATCCCAGCAGACATTTTGACTGATAGCTTCAAGTGACTGATGACTCTGGCAGCACTGGTCTCTTTAGCATCCAAGTTGAGACACCCAAAAGGGAGTTGCTTTTCTGTTGGCAGAGAACAGTGCCTCCCAGTATGACCCACCAGGAAGGTTAATCACTTTTGGAAGTGTACACCTCCTTCCCCCAAGGTGATTACTCTGAAGGGAAATTGCTCTAACAATTCATTAATGGAACAGGAAGCCACTATTTCTGACTGAGTATACAGTGTCCTTTAGGAACAGCTTGGAACAGAAACAAGACCCAGGTGAGATCATGTGCTGGCCTTTTCCTCTCAGATAAGAGCGTGAACGCTGTAGTAAACAATGCATGCTCTGTATTGGTCTGCTGACACCAGTATCACTGTCTTAATGCAACTGAAACCTGTGACAGACAGCGTGAATTCCTTAAGTTACTTTGGAAGGAAACGACTCGTGTATCAATTGGCAGCCCTATATCCAAGCTTTCTGATAGCGAGGTGTGCAGCACAGCTTTTTTGAGCATGTTATTCTTTTGTTTGGGGGTCAAGCAAGGTGGTGGAAGTACGCTGACTCCCCTGCCACCTCAGAAGCATGATTACTTGAGTCACATTTTCCCTCCATCCTGGTCCTATCAGAGCTGACATATTGCCTCCTCCTTCCTCCTTGCTGGGCTCTGTATCCATTTGCTGTCCCAGGGCTGGATATGCTATCACTGTTCCACTGCTGCTCATCTCTGGAGGGCAGTGAGACCCTGGTGGAGGGCCTGCGGCAGTGAGGCATTACCTGCACGTTTGCCAGCTGTTATAACCATGTTTCATTGAAAACCACAGCACACTGATAAGGAAGTTCCCTACAGGAACCAAGGATGGCACATAAAAAGATGTCTTGTGGGATCAGCCCAGCTAAGGAAGACACCCCCTTCTCCTTCCCTCCCCTCCTTCCCTCCCAAAAAAACCCCAGACTAGATGCAATATATAGCCTTAGTCTTGTCTAGCCCATCACATTTCTGATGCATAAAGCATCCTCAAAACGTCCTCAGATAAGACACTCTTTCTACCTTATGCTATTTCAGTTAAAGTAAACACAAAGCCATTCAGGATTTAAGTGGGAATATGGATTCAGAATTTAGCAAGGGGACTACTGTGGGTAACACATCTGTGACACAGCTAATGCCACTGCTTCCAAATGGATGCCCAAACTGGTGGGCATTGAGGCAACACTGAGGACTTGAAAACCTGCTGCAAGTTGACCTCACATACCCAAGGCCTCTCACTCCACGGTGCATTTGAGGGCACACTAAAACAGCAGGAGTGATGAGACCACCAGGTGAAAGAGCTCTGATTTGGCTATGGGCTATGGATACCCAGGGATTCCACTTCTTCGTTAATGTTCCTTTATTCCGCTTTGCTGCAGAAACCATGTAAGCATCCCACCAAAGCAGGCACACTTGTGAAGAAGCGCTACTTTAAAAACAGATATAAATTGGCTTTTGAAGCTTCTCCTACTTCTCTTCTTTCCCACTTCAACTAAGAACTTTTTTCTAGACTGGGAAGATGCATTTTTAAGATAGAATATTGGGAATGTGAATTTAAATACAGAGAGCCAATCTAGATTTGCATGAAGGCACCCCAGAGTATCATCTAATTGTAAAAACTAAGAATGGAGGAGCCATCTAAATCCATCCCACTGCCAATGGAGAACAGCTCCCCACAGGATATTTACAAGTTTTTAATACCTTGGCCTTGTGCCTCACGTGCACCAGAGACATACTTTTAGGCCAATAAAACATCCCTTGTCATGGCTTAAGGCTGGAAGAATTAATTTATAACTCATTATTTCCTCTTTTAAAGCTCTGCTCTTTGGACAGCTGTGACATAATTCCTAAAAATCTCACTAGTTAAAGAGCAGAAGTACACTCTCCTCTCCAGCTCCCTGCCCACAAAGGCCAGCTATTCAAATGGTTTCCTTTTCCCAGTTTAATTTCAGCTCTTGCAGCTGATGAGGGGGCAAAAACACTGATCACAGGGGTGCTAGGGGGAACAGCTTGAGTCCTCTTGCAGGTCCTGCCTAGGCACCCTCCAACCAAGGGTCTGACAGAAGCTGAGAACAGCTCTGCCTTCACAGCAGTGAAAGGGTGTGCCTCTTTGGGCTAAATCAGGGAGTTCAGTCTGAATTCAGACAAAGTGAGGCTTGACAAAGTAAAGATGAAGTTCTGACTTAACTGAAGCCTAAGGAAATATGATTTCACTTTAAATAAGTCTCTCTCTGTCTCTATCACACACACACAATCCCAATGTGATTTCATCTTTCATAGCTGAAGGTCAGCCATTTCAACACGGTATTTTTTCCACAGAGAGTCACAGCTTCTGCTCTCCTGGCAGGTCTGCACCATCAAAAAATAAAAAAAAACACAAAAGCAAGGCCATTTGAAGTTATTGGACGCTTTTATTTTAATGTAGCACCCAGCTTCATATCACATACATTTTCCAAAATTAGATGGGTACAGTATAGAACACTATACAATTTGCAGCTTACCATGGGGACAGTCTGCAGCTGTGAAAACAAATTACTTAAATCTGGCTATCTAGTAAGTTAAAATTCAAATATTTAATAGCCTCGGGGTATTTTTTTTAGATTAACAATGACAACGCTTGCAATACAATTTTTATATCAAAAAATCAGTAACAGAGTAAAACATAATGCATATGTTCATAGCACGTTATCATGAAGATAGCTGAAAAAAGCTTCAAAATACATCATCTCTTCTCAAAGACACTACATCACTTAGATTTATTTTTTTCCTGAAAAAATACTCTTTAGTCAATAAAATATGCGGCTTCATAAGCCCATGTATTTTCTTGTCAAGGCCTGCGTATGCTGAAGGCTGAAGGTGCTGGGAAATGGACATCCCTCATTCCCCAGCTAGCAACTTTTACAGGCTCTCTTCCTCCTGATCTGGAAGCTCAGCTGGGAGGAAAGCAACATATACACCACCAACAGGCAATTTTCACATCATGCCCATCCTAAATGCTTTCTCTGAAGGGTTCCAAATCCCAACCACCACTTTGGGGTCATTTTAACCTGCAAAAGCTCACCACCTCATGCTGGTTAGCTTGGCAGTGCTGTAGCATCATATACTGGCTTGGATGGGAAGGGACCTTAAAAGATCATCTAGTTCCAACCTCCCTGCCAAGGGAAGGGACACCTTCCACTAAACCAGGTTGCTCAAGCCCCATCCAACCCTGAACACTTCCATGAATGAGGCATCTACAACTTCTCCAGCAACCTGTTTCAGTGTCTCACCACCCCCATATAAAAAACTTCTCCCTAGTATCTGATCCAAACCTGCCCTCTTTCAGTTTGAAGCCAGTCTCCCTTGTCCTGTCACTACATGCCTGTATAAAAAAGTCCTTTTCCAGCTCCCCTGTAGCCCCTTTTAGGTACTGGAAGGTGCTAAAAGGTCTTCCCAGAGCCTTGTCTTCTCCAGGCTGAACAACTTCAACTCTCAGCTTGTCCTCATAGGAGAGGTGCTCCAGCCCTCTGATCACAGAATCATAGAATCAGACAGGTTGGAAAGGACCTCTGAGATCATCAAGTCCAACCCCTGATCCACTACCACAGTGGTTACTAGACCATGGCACTAAGCTGATCATCTGTCAAGCTGGGACAGTCCGAATTACAGCCAATCATCTCTCCCTCAATGTGGATACAGAATTTCCAGCAGCAAAACTACCACCATGCAGTCTGAAGTTAATATTCTGTTTTTAAAAGGTTATTTAACAACTTAGCAGCAACAGGGCTGCATTGACTAATCACTGACACTTTTGCTACATCACCAGAACTCTCTGGAAGAATGAACTGAGGAGTGTCTGGAAAGAGTTGGTAATGTTTCCACTGCATCCCAGCATAAGATTAATAACTAGGAGAAGGACAACGATCCTTAAGGATTAATGTGCGTTCATAGGTAGTTTAATAAAGGAATGCCACTGAAATGGAAACTCTGCCTTGATTAATTTCCAGGTCATTATTTATTTTTAAAGGCTCAAATAAAAATGGCATATCCACAAAGGCAACCGGTCACTGAACTTAGCTAGGCATTTTCCTTTTTTCACCACAGAATTACCAGATATTGAAACAAATATTTCACAGAAAGGTTATCAGGTGATTTAGGAGCATCTCCCATCCAAAGTTTGAGAAAGCAAAGGTTTCTGCAAGAAATTATGATTTTGCTTCACTCACATTTTTCTAAACGAAAAATAATTTTTGACAAAATCTGTGATACTGGATTTAGATGTGAACTTTGACCAGCCAGGGCCTGTTAACAGTAGCCATGAGCATGGCATGGAGCAAGTGCTAGAAGCACTGTCTGTAGCTTCATGATGCCTTCTCCTCTCCTCAAAATGCTAACAGTTTCCCAAAACTAGACATACTTTTTCGTTTTGCATGGGCTATCATAAATGCTTAACCGTTGAGACACACAGAAGAGTAACTTCCTGCATCATATGTATAACACACCAACATTTCTCCTAGAATATTTCACTTTACCCTCTGTGTGAGCTATTGTATCACCATCACAGCTGACATCTTACCAAAAAGAATACATATCAACTCACATTATAGTCACTGAAGCTGAGAGGGGCATTTGACTGCAACCTTAAAAATGCAGGGATGGTTAAATATTTTATTTATTAAGACCAGTGGTAAAGTAACAATCAAGTAAGTATTTAATTGTTGGCTAAGCATGTATTCATAATTTCCAGTAAATGAAAAAAATTTCCATATTTTAGAAGGGAGACATTTGAAAAAGACAGTATAAAACAGACTCTTCCACAACTCCTTAGAACAGCATCTAGTCCATGAATAACTCAAGTGAAATAGATGCAGGATTATTCCAAAGGAAGCTCCTATCAAACATGAAAAAGTCCTCCACTGCCTTAAAAATGCAGTGAGCACACTTCTTTGTAATAATTGAAAAGCCTTCCCTAAAATATCACCCATAAAAGAAAAAGCTAGTGTGCCATACAATTATTTTCTATCAAATAGTAAGGGTTTATTAACCAAATGACAACGTAAGAACTAAAAAGCAAACAGAATGAGCACTTAGCCTCATTAAATCTCCAGAATGACTCAGTATTATGAACAAATTAAATAAATGATGATAAATTTGGAAAAATATCACTACTAGCAAGAGGGCAGTGGCTCTTTTGCAGCTTCCCAGAAAAGTTTGCATTCCTCACATTTTGTCACTGACCAGGAATGACTGTCTGACCTCAGCTATGCAATAGTCACAGAAGAGAAGTCCCAAATCCACAGAAAACAGTTGTTGCTTGTTGACATAGTGATGCTTAGTTGAATCAAAACTAATGTATCACAAAAACAGAGTTTCAGTAACAATTCTGCAAATGGCAATTTTCACCTTTAGACTTCTGGATTCACATTCCACATCCATATTCCCTCCAGCAAAAGTAGACTGTTTCCTCATCAGTTTAAACATTCTCGTTGATGCCTTTCTTATCTCTCAACAAAACTTTTGGCTGCTCTGATGCCCTCTGATATGCCACGGCAGCCATTCAACTACACACCCTGAAGAGAGGCTACCCAGCTGCTTCAAACCTGCTTCTCCTTCCTCTCAGCCCCAGGGCCATCCTATAGCTACAGGGAGAAAGCATCACACCAACAACAGTGACAAAATTTTTGCACTGCTTCTGCAAGGCAAACACATACACTTAAATTAGGTCAGTGAGCAAAAGGACATGAAACATTGTGCAGCGTCATGTTTAAGGTGGGTAACAGGTAGGTGACATTCCCTTGCAGTGAAGCACATCATAGCCATGGTGGGAGCAGGGCTGATATTATTATGTCTGAAGTCACCCAACCTAAGGGTGCTGCCTGAAAAAATACAGCAACATTAGCTAACTAGCTTTCATTGTAAGAACTGAGACCAAAGCCACCAACCACTGCATCCATGGAAAAATCCCCACGCAATTCAGTTGGCCCTGGATCAAACACAGGTTAAAAATTCATCTTTGCTTCTTCATTTAGAAAGTAGACGGGCATTAGCAGCTTTATCCTATCAGTAGCATCTCCACTGATGTGCAAAGGAACCTTAACGAAAGCCTGCTGTAAAAGGCAATTATTTCCATCACACATTTTATAGCCTCATACATAGCACTTTTGCTATCTTTCTTCTTTTGGAAATACAGTTCTTGTACACATCCTTAAAAATATCAGCAGCTATTACGACAACAAAGCAGACTAATACAAATGCACATAGAATTGCTTTTATAAAAATGCCCTGAATGCATTTTTAACCTGTTGTTAGAAATACAGTTGGTTAAAAAAAAAAAAAAAAAAAAGAAGAAGAAAAACGCTATAAATCTATGATCTCAAATATGCCAAAAGAATGCAGAGACATTGGCAGTTGCAAGCAAGTGATAAGAAACAACTGTAGCTCAAAACAAGATTTTTTTTAATTTCCAAAGTAACTACATTTTAGTATTTTTTACTGTTCGCTCATATGCCTTGAGCTTCTAAAATATAAGTTCTCTAACATTAAAATACATCCATGATTGCATAATAAACAGTACTAAGAAAATAATTATTTGACATGTGATTGAGGATAAAGATTCTGGACATCTTGTGAGTTTTATTTCTATGGTATGTTAAACCCATGGGTACTCTACCATGACACAATCCTGCAGGAATCAGTAACATCCAGAAGCACATCTCAGCGGACGAGTTTTCAATTTAAGCAAGAATTCAGGAATGCTGTACCTCTTAATGAGTGGGGCAGGAGGTGCTGCCAAAATGCATGTAAATCAGGAATTCTTCACATAAATAAAATACTCTTAGGTTATTCTTTTCAGTGATAAACTGCTTTTACACATTAGGCTGGAAAGAGGGAGGAAAGAAGGCGAAGCATCTCCCACTCAGAAATATCTGGCAGTCAGATATTTGTTTTCTGTCTCTTCCTCACCTGCAAAGGCAAACGCGCATAGTGGGGTGAAGGGAGACCTGACAAGGCTGGTCCTCCCCACCGCCTTGGCAGAAACCCTGCTCAGCCACACCCAGGTCCTCTCCTTGCAAGGCTGTCAGACACGTGCTCTGCTCTTGCTGCTGCACAGCGGTGCAGGAAGTCACAGGACGGTGACAGGACGTAGCTGTTCCAGCTGCGTTTCCAAGGCAATTCGTTCCTTGTGAACCTCCTGCAGGAGGGAGATACGGGTGTTCTAACTTTTGGGATGCTCGCATGCACCACCCTTCTCCGGTGAAGAGCAGCCAGGCAAACCACTGGCACTGACTCAAGGCTCAGGGCTCTGCTGTTTTAGTAACTGCCCTTGTGGTCTCAGAACACACCACCAATGCCATATAATCCCCCTGCACAGCTTCTGCTGCCTCCTGACAGAGGGGCAACACAGAGTTTTAACCACGTGCTTGGGCGACCAAGGAGAGGAGCAGTCATCCACTGGTCAGTGGAATAGCTGGGGCTGCATCAAAGATAGCCTCAACTGGCCACTTCTACCAGAGAAAATGAGGCTATTTTGAAATAAGGTTTCCTTCAAAACTGCTTTTTGATAATTTTTTGTTCTACAAGCAACCACCTTCCTTTGGGAAATGAACAGGACTTAGATTTTGCAATCTACCCCTGTGGCTGCTGCAGCAGGAAGATCATCAGTCTCAATCATGAGGGTTTTGGGGACCAGTGATTTTGGAAAAGTCTCCTTGTCTCAAGGTTGCCTCTGTATGGAGAGGCACCTAGCTCTCACTAACCTCCCATCAAAGGGCTCCCTGCCAGTGTGGGAGCCTGGCTGAACTATGACTCCTCTAGGCTTTGGTTCCCCATTTGGGCAGGCTCAGAGCCCCAGCACGAGCATGCACTTGAACCTTCCCCGTCCTCAGTGCAAGATGTGACTGAGGAGTACCCATCAAGTCCTCTGGTCTCCATAAAAACAGCAGAGCCCTGCTCCATCAGAAAGTTTCCAGGCAGCAATACAGCTTAAAGGACAAGTTGTTGTGTGAACTTAGGCAAACCTCTATGTCTTTTCCTGCTGTAAAACACAGGTAACAGCACTGGCCTGCTGAAGATGGGAGCAGGTAAGACCTGAGTCAAGGAATGATGGCAATGTGCTGTCATTAAAAGCTTTCATCTCTATGCTTATTTCAATTACTGTTCTGTATTTTGCTCTGATTTCAGTACAGAGCATCCACCCTCAATCTCTCTTGAGAGATCCTTGAAAAGCAGTTAGAAATTATGTTAAGCAAACCTGAACATGCAATCAAACTTTCATCCAACTGAAAAAAAAGTCCATCTGCAGGTTCATCACCCTTTCCAGACAAGTGTGTTCATAACATGTGAGGAAGAAAAAGCTGTAGGAGATAAAAACCTGAAGTCTGTACTGCTTTTGGACTAAGACAATGGAAAAATAAGAACTGATGTTTATAAGAAAACAGCCCCTTGGGAAAACATTAAAGGACAAGTCAGCAGACATTAAAAAATAGTGTTAGATGCTCATGCAAAACATGATTTAACTAGTCCATGTATCTCAAATGCCTGACTCCAGGAGATAATAATGTAGCACAACTGATCAGAAGACAAGAAAGCTTGGCTTGAGTTGGTCTTCTGCACCAGGTGACACCATCACATTATCAAACTTTTCAGACAAAGTTCATTCTTTAGACTTATGCTGCCAGTGGAGCTGTAGGCTCATAGATTGTAATTTTTCACAGAAAGCACCATCCTAACCTCATATACAATACAGTTATTCCCTTCTTGAAAGCAGGAAGGAATGCAATAGGTCTCATCTGAGAGGATGAACAAGATTCTCTGCTGGAGGTGACACATAACTGATTACAGGGAGTTTTGTCACTGATTTGCAATGCATTCCTTACCTTCAGCTGCTGCTGGAGCTCACTGTTCAACCTGGCGAGCACAGCGTTGGCTTCTTTGTTTTTTCGTATGGCGGTCTGAATAGCCCTTTTCTGCTTGGAAGACTGTCTGCCAGACAGATACAAAACATTTCAATTAAGAGCCTCAACAGCAGCTGATGCCAGAAGACCAGCCATCCATTTTGCGTGACTGTACTCTCTACACACTGGACTATGCTTCAAAGACAAGGTACAAACTACAGATTCAAGAGAAGAAAAATGCAATGTTGAAATCAGATGCCTGAATCAGGTAGAGTTTTTGAAAGTAAAACAGTCACACCTGCTAACCTGAATGACAGAAACATTTTAGGCAGTCTCAATTATTTCAAAATCACTGCATTCTCATTGATCTTAAGAATAATCCCTGCCCAGCTGTGGTTATTGCAGCATCTTTGCACTGGCTGTTTTCAGACACTTGTAGAGTTTAGAGAGTCAGGAGTGGCTAATGCAAAATACAGAAATAAAGGACATAGGCACGAAAATGCTGTCTCAGATTTTTCGGGCACTGCTGATTCTGATGGTTCTTTACATCAAAAATTAATCTTTCTTTCATTCAAAGCAGTCATTTCCACCAAAACCATCTGATATCACAAACAGGAACAGAGGGATGGCTTATGGACTTCCCTCATCTGTTTTCTGCTTAAATAAAGGATATCTCTCTTACTATTATTACTTCATAGCCTGTGGTAACTGACCTGGAGGAAATGACAGCTAGGCAGACAGGTACAAAAAGAGACAGCTCTTTACATAAGGACCATCCTATTCCAAAAAAAAGGAGATAACAACAGGAAAAAGGAAAGAAAATACAGAAAATACTGGCTGAATATCCAATCCCTCGTCCAAATAGCTTAAAGTTTTACATGAGGCTAGAAGAGCTCTTTAATGCCAAATTTGATCTAAACCAGATGCCCTATTTAAATACGGTCCGCAGTGGCACAGAGTCCCCATTAGCTCTTCTGTCTTAACAGAGCTGATGGCACTGATCTTTCCAATAGAATCTTTTTCACAGCACGGCAACAAGACTTGATGCTGTTATCTTCCAGTGAACTGTCAGTTTTCTGCTTCACTATTTTGGTTCAAACTACTCTCCATAGGCTATAAAGTAATAGATGTTAAAAAAAAAAAAATAAAAGCAGGGCAATATATATGTCTGTGGCCATTTAAACATTTTAGGAAAGATACAGACAAGACAGGATTGAGATGTTAACAAATGCTGTTATCTCTGAACCACTATGGAATATGCACTCCCAAAGCACAAAATAGCACTTTAAAAGCATCCTAGGAGTCTTATTACTTTTTCTAATCTCCAATTATGCAGCACAGATTCAGTCTACTGATAAACAGTTTGCCAAGAAACGCTCAATTGCTTTGGGCAGCTTGGTTTTGTTTCAAGCTGAATCAGATGTCTTTGCAAGGCTCTGGGTGATGGTGGGGTATAATGTTTGCACAGTCTTTCAGTTGAGGGAAATGCACAGATCCAATAGGGCTTCAAGTGCCTTTGTTTACCATTTGTACAGCCCCTTCCCCACTGCTATTAAATATACATACAAGTCTTTGCTGCTGACAGCTTTGACAGCTGTATTTATGAGAGCGAACAACACATGTTGGGTTTGGCCATTACTGGATTATTACAAGTGGCTCAACTCACACCAGTGGCAAGCTCATTTCCAATATGCCTTGCAATAAAAAAATATCACAAGGATATGACCAACATCAAGCATTTTATGACTCAGTTTCCCGGGCATTTATTTGGTCATATCTGTCCAAATAAATGAGTGTAATTCCAGAAGATATGTGCAAGGCAGAAACACACACCCGCACATGTAAGAGGAGTTGTGTTAGAGATGCTGGCTGAACAGCTCTTCGGATATGTCTACCAGGTACAGAAGTTAAGATACCTTTGAAGAGGTTATCTATCAATCAAATACCACCAACAGTCACTACAGGCTTAGTCTGCATTCGAGAAGACCAACGTACATTTCACAGACCTGTATCTAGTGAAGCACTCTCAAAACCAGAACTATTAAGCATAAAATTACGCAAAGAGGAAACCCTGCCACATCAAATCTCATGGTGCAGTTTGGCATGCTTAGTACAGGTTTTTACTTTTGAACTGGGAGATGAGCCTTGGCTGCTGGCTGGGAAGAAGTCACATTTATAGTGGGAGAAAGCTCAGGAGTCTCCAGCCCTTGTGCCTCCGTCCGGAGCTTCCTGCGGGCAGGTTTGGAGGGCGGCTGAGCAAGAACAACCTCCTGAAAGGAAGAAGCACAGCAACGTTAAGTCAGGCCATATGTGTCCCATCATTAGGCTGGGTAATATTTGTGACACATAAATTGCTGACAGCTGGACTAAGATTTCATAATTTAAAGAGGTACAGAGCTTAATTCAAATTTGGTAATAGCTTCTCAGGTTTCTGACTTTGAAAAAGGAACAACAACTCCTGCAATCCCTTAATGAATTAAATGATTATACTGGTGTTTTGTCTTCATCTGGATGAGAGGCTCTTCAGACTGTATTTTATAGCTCTGTGTGCAATGGGCGGAGGTAGAGGGAGGGGTATAAATACACATACTGGCCCCCAGTTGACTCGAAAAGCATTAAAACCAAAGCTAGATTTAATTTTGATTATGCTCAGTTGGTAAGAATCAATAATCAATCAATCAATCACTTGTATCCCATCTTATAGCCTCACACATCTGGCACGGAATTTCTCCCTTCTCCCCTCCTCTCTTACATGAAGCAACACTGAAGATAGTTTAGAAAGACAAATATATAAAATTATCCATGCAAAATTAACATGTTGGAAGTATAGAAGGCCAGTTATTTCTCTTGATAAATTACATCAAATAGATAGTCTGGGTTTTCTAGGTCAAACAGAGTCTTGGATTTTTATGACTTCAGTGGTAAGAAGAGTTATAATTATTTTAAATTAAGACATCATTTCTTTAGCAATGAAAACAGTTTTAATGCCTTATAGCTGTTTTAAATCTAAAATATAAATATATCCTTTTAATTGTATTTTATTATTAGATCTGTTTTACAAGGGATATAACTATTACTGCCTCATTTCATGAATGAGAAAGCTAAGACCCCCAAAAGTTGAAGGGACTTGAGAAAGGTTTTTTTAGCACCACAGACAAAACCAGAGACCAGATTTTCTTATTGCACAGTTTACTGGGCTAGACTACATGCATTACTAAGTTTTGACCAAATGTTAGTAAAATAAGAAAAAAAATAAATGGGGAAATATTTAATGACACAGCAATTACAAGAAAAAAACAACACTGTAATAAGCAGCCTGAGTCACTGGAAGAGACTACTATGAGTGATACAAAATGAAAACAACATAAGACCATCAATCATTAGTATTAGAGGGATTGCAATTATTAAAGGAATTTGAATTATAAGGAAAAAAGGGTTTCAACATTAAAAAACAGTTCTGTCATTACTGAAATAAAGATCTAAAAATATTATGAGATGTTCTGATCAGGACATCAGCACATCATGACTGCACAGGTCTCTGGTAATACCATGCTCTGAAATCCTGTGCAGACGCACAGGTCCCTGCAAACACCACATGCGGCAAGTGAAGAACTTGTGTATGCCTTCTACAGCTATAAACTGGTGGGATGTAAACACACAATCCCAGTCTACCTTAAACTGCCCAAACCCTACCAAATCCACAGGACAAATCCCTGCCATTTCAAACACAATACTGTAAGCAATGATCCAATACTAAAAAGCAGATCCCTCTGCAGGGGTTCTTTGGCTGCCTGCTGTTGCACAAGGCTTTGGAAGGTGGGTCAGCACCACAACAACAACCTGCCTCCCACACCCCACAGCCTGGGGCTTTCACTGCATTTTAGGGATCCAGGTGGGATAAGGGTGAGCATGAAGTAGGTGGACTGCAAGGACTTTTATTTCCACTCAGCAGGGCTACAGAGCAAATCAAGGAAGAACCCAGACAAGGCTAGAACTAGCACGTGATGAGCACTAGAAGAACAAGGACACTGCCTGGAAAACCGTATCACACACAGAAAATGCCAACACTGGACATTTGTCTGTGCCCCCCATTAGAGCAAGAAGGGTGATGGTGCTCCCTGGCCAAGGTACACACTACATACAGCACCTGCAAACAATTCTTGGCTGGGCTAAGCAAAGGTCTTGCAGGTGCTCTCTGGTTGCAGGAGGGGCCAGAGGGTCGAGAATCTGCATTTGCCCCCTGTCAAAACCTGTTCTGGCTGAGGCTAGTGGAAGGAAGTGGTGGGAGCACCACTAGGAGAGGGGAAATGCTCACAACCACTGCTAAGGCCAGTCCATCCCTAAGCAAGGCTCTTTGAAGAGTGCTATAGCAATTTCAGTGCTTACTTTATACAATGATATGTTCATACAAAAACATATTAGAAACTGCACATCTTGAGCAAATCTCTCCCAGACTGAGTGCATTTCATGGCAGACCCTAACCTCTAGCAAACAGGTGTGTACACACCAAAATTAAAACCTCAATAACTGAAACCAAGAAGTGCAAGAACTACAGCGAGGCAGGGGTCAAGTACAATCAAACTCTTTTTTGTCTTCCCTAAGGCTCCACAAGGCTCCCTAAGGCTCTCCTATTGATTTTGAAATAAATGGCAAGCTGCCTCTCTCAAAGCACATGCATCAATGTGTATGTATTAAGAGCTTTCTTAATGATTTATCCGAGTTGATGTCACACATGATCCCAGTTCTCTCCAGCGTCTTGACCTCTACAGAAGGTAAACATGTGAAAACATAACCCTAACCCTCTGTTTAATTGCTTTAAAAACTAAAACAACCACATCTGTTGATGAAGGCAAATCACTCCATAATGGTACAATGTGTGCAGGTCTCACCTTTTTTGCTGAACTGTTTTCTTCTGCCTGCGATGGGGGTCTATTCATCTGAGGATGTAAATCAACCTCAGATGGTTGCTCTGTCTGCAACAACAAATCAGTCATTGCTACACCAAGTCACATACAATAAAGTCAATGAAAGGAAATGTTACACACAAAAGAAAAGTTACTTTAACAATTCAACAGTAGGGAAAAATGGAGATCTAGGTTGACAGCTGAATGGATGACATATGTCTTTTGCAGATTTTTAATGAAACCATTTTCTTGCATTTTCTTGTGCTGGGAAAACAGAAGAAGACTGTGAACCATTAGGAACTGATGAATGTAAACAATCTAGTACTCATAATTTCTTCTAGAGTTACCCATATGGCCTAGATATTTAGAGAAAAACTAAGGAAGGTGGATAAAAGCTAGAAAGATCTTGGATGCACCCTGTCACCTTATTATCACCTGAAACCAATGAAAATTCATTGGAGTAAGCCTCTGTCTTTGAAGTTTGCAAGGCCGAAGTGAGAAAGCATGAATTATACCAAAAATTCCAGCAAAGTTACTGAAAACACAAGTCATAAAAGCAGACAAATAAATCTTCCCTCCTCCCTTCTCACGTTTCAAACAGAAACCGAGATGAACACTCACCACCCAGGTCTACACATCTGCAAAACAAAACACCCTCCCCCCACCATATCTGACTGAGCAGCAAATTAAAACAGAGGGTTAATCCCTTGCTTTGCCTTTTGTGAAACCTCTCTGCATCTTTTGACAGGGCCCAGCATAGGGAAGGATGGATTTGGAGCTGCCTGTCCCTGGGCACGCAGCAGCAAACAAGGTATAAACACAGTTGCGGCTGTTTTCTGTCCAGAAAGTATGGGCTGGCTCTCCAGGATGGGGAAGGCAGGCAGGAACAGGACGCTGAGGGCACTTGGCACCAGCAGGCAGCCTCTTCTCCCCTTTCCCAGCTTCTGCCAAGTTGAAACCACATTGGCAACAGCCCCCAGGAAGGAGGGGCAGCCTGCCATCCTGCTCCCTCCACAAGAAAGGCTTATTTCTATACAAGTGAAAAACCAAGTCTGAGGCAAACCTCAAACTTTCAAGGGACCAGAATTTTAGCCATAATAACTTGTTGCACACTGAAGAACCTAACTTGCTGTTGCCAAGGTTTCTGCATAGGCCCACCAAGCTCTGTAGCAGTCACAAGTTTACCAGTGCTTAACTGTAAGTTAAACAAAAATTACAGAAAGCACAGATTTTGGTATATTTAAACAGGAGGAATTTTTTCCACTTTAATTTCTTCCATAACAGACACAGTAAGAGCTGTACAGAAAGATCCAGAAAAAACATGGTTCTGTCAGGTTACTGCTGTTCTCCAACCACATGGCATCAAACATGTGCATAGAGGAGGGAAATTTGGAATTTATTTTTTTTTAAAACGCATGTGAAATCCCTCAGGAGGGAGGGAAAAGTTATTTTGACTGACAAGATTTCTCTCCCACCCTCTTTAAAGTGTGCTACATCTGTAGTATTACTTGATGGTTAAAAAACCCAAAAACCTGTCACACTGTAACATTACAGTATCTGAATAATAGTATCTTGATTTTTAAAAATTTTAATAACATTTGAATTCTGAAAAGCTGTTTATGTATTGAAGAGTTTCCTCTCTAACTGTAGATTTCTGGTCCAATGAGAGTGAAATGGTAAAAAAGCTATCTTTTTTTCTGTCTATAAAAATGGCCACTGAATGCAATTGAGCATTTTTTTATCAGCAAAGCTGAGTGGCCCATAAAGTCCCTGATTTCTACAACCACTGTGTTTGAAAGGAATGAAGGCTCTAAGCACTGGTAGCAGTAGCCTGGGAAAGTCCACAGGGCTTTCATGAATGATCTGGGGATAGAAAAGGTCAAATAGTAAACAGAACCACATCACATTATCATAAATTTGGGCCACATCACTTGGGCGAGTCATACATTCAAGGACAGCAAGAGTAAACCAAACCCTTCAGAGAGCCACTTAATATGCATACTATTAATTCCTCATGGTATAGCCTTGCTGCACAGCCCAGAACAGTGACAAGGTACATGAGAGACAGCTCTTAATGACCCCTCTTGGACAGCAAGTCCTAGAACCCTCTCTACCCTGGTCAGGCAAGAAGTTTCTGGTGCACACACACTCGCTGGAGCCTACATTAAACCTTGCATCAAAAGCCTTCACATCCTGTTAAAAGCAAATACAAATTGGATGGTGCCAAAATTTCCAACAGTTTGATATTGCCGTTCCTACTGATGCAAGACACATTTTTTGTGAGCTCAGGGCTGTGATGGGCTGTGGCAGCTGTGCTGCAGGGCTGCTGTACCTGCTGCCTGAGGCTGGGTCACTGGGCTGGCCACTTCTCCCTGTTGCCAAGATGTGAGAATTGCAAAGCTCAGCTGCCAACGGAGCAAGGGCTGGTAAAAATAAAGAAATATCTGGAAAAAAAAAAAAAAAAAAAAAAAGGAGGGAAACCCTGAAAAAAGACAACTAGTTCTGGTGATGCAGCTCATGCATAATGAACGAAACCAAGCGACTGCCATGTCCCTAAAGTGCCACCTAGTGGCATGTGGCACAGGCCATTTCTGAGTGCTTTGCTCGGAGGAGACTTCCAAAAAAAAGGCGTCTGCATCACTAGGAGCCTGCAGACTGAGCCTGCCCCGCGGGCATGCTGCTACTGCGTGTGCTGAGCCTTGGCCCTTCCCAAAGTCACCTTTCCCTCTCACGCAGAAACCAGCTCTACACATGAATTATCTGCTGTCAGAGTTACAAGCTCTCCTCTAGAAAGACCTCCACTCCTTAGGGCAATGACTCTGACACAACAGCCCAAGTGTAAAAAAAGATCGGTGTGCTGCTGCGGGGGATTTTGTTCAGGGACAGACAGTACTTAGCCCAGGTAAAAATCTTTTAATTCAGGCAAAAATTTTTTGGTAACTGTATCATGCATCAATGCAAAGAACGTTTGCTGATGCAGCAACACAACAAAGTCCTCTCTGAGAACTTTACAAATACATCTGCAAGCTGATATCTCCCCACACTGTCCCTACACAGATTTTAAAGGAAAAATAACTCCTGGGTTTTTTTTTGGCAGAGGGATTCCTTGCAGATTTCCTTCCCTTCACAGATTTGGATGTGGGGTGAAAGCCAGTAGTAGTAGCCTTCAGGCAGAGTGAGCTTGGCTCAACAGCACTCTGGTCCAAGCTCCTATAGTGGAATACAAGGAAAAGGTGATCCACCAGGAGCAGCTGAGGTGGGTTTCAGTTCTTCATCATTTTCATACCATGCTTAGTATAGTCTCTGGGCAACTAATTTCTCATTCAGAAACACAGCCATAAACTAACTCCTTCCATCACAGAAATGTCTTAGAATTTTCCCACATACTGGAAACTTGGCACAATTATATTCAAATACTTCACCATTGGTACATAAAACTGAAAGATTATCCAATATGGTCTTTTAAAGGAAATTTCAGTTATGGTAGTGGAGAAGTGTTCTTCAATGGAGGTGTCTCACTCACATCCACAGAACAGAATAAGCTATGAACACTGAGAGTGCTGCTGTGCTGGCTGGTACGGCTGAGAACACACCCAGGGTTACAGTAGATGAACAAAGAATATCCTGCTCATCTGCACTACCAGCAGTGCAAACAGAGGCTGCAGACCACGCCTAAGAGTATCTTGATTTTGGGAAGCAGAGAAAATGACCACAGAAAAGAACAAAACAGTGCTCTATGCCAAATCTCCTGAAGAGATTCTCTTTGCAGAGACCAGAGTGTTATAAACAGGCAGTATCTACTTTTTTCTCAGCACAGTTCTGAATTTTCTGGGAACAGCCATACCCTTCCCATTCTTCCAGGCAAAGGGTAAAACTGGCCAACAAATTTTCTGTGCAACGGCCACAGCCAGAGCCCAATCTATGGCCTACGGCCAACACTGATCATTAGGACAGATAATTCCTCATCATTAAGGGGAGCATTAGGAATTGCAAATGCTCATTATTTCATGGCATGAGCCTTGACCAGACATTCATAATCTCCTCAATACTCCATGTGACGATACTTAACAGCACCTTTCTAAAAGAATACGTAACACTCACTTGAACACTAAGTACTTCGAAAGCCTCAGATGAAAGATTATTGTAACTACAAAAGAACACAGCATCTTAACAACTGGGCCTTTGCTTACATTTCCAGTTCCGTTGTTCTGCAATGCTGGATTGTATGTAGATTTCACACTCACGTTTCAAGACAATCCACAACTGATCTTCCAGAACAGAAGGTCTACACAGAGCTTTCATATTTCTGTTACCTGAGAGGCTTTTTGCAAGAGGTGAAGTATATATTCAATCTTTCCCACAATTCACTTTTGCCCACACTCATGCTCCAGCTTAGCTTTACATATGGAAATAGTCCCATTGTAGTCAGTGGTATTACTCACAGAAATGAAATTATCTCTGTGCATTCACTGGAGTAGCCTATAATCATTACCCATACAGTGCCACTGCTTAGCTTTGCAAAAAAAGTATTGAGAACAGCTTATCTATAAAAAAAGTAGGATACTACATATCCTTAACACTCTATGTGCCCACTGCAATCTTCTATCATCTCTACGTAAGTTCACTTAATAGGTATTTTGCTCCTTTCTAAACATTCATATTTTTGTGCTTAAAGCCAATTTCTGAGAAGTCAAGACATCTCGATTCTAGTTTCTGTGAGTCTTCTGCATCCCACACTGAATCATCAACTCTTTTTATTGCTTATTACAAAAACTGAAAATGGTAAGACAGGAGAAAACCCACAGGGATGCAAATGCAACAAGCTGCCAGGGTCTTAGCATGCTGCCTGCTTTCTCAGCACTGTGCAGCCCTGAAGTTTTGATAAGCATTTTCTTTCCCTGAGCTATCTGAGGGCTGGTGATAAGGTTGAGGAGAAAGACGGCAAATACAAACAAATTGCTGCAATGTTCAGCTCATTCGGAAGAAAAGAATAGGACCCAGATGGAAGCATTAACAATCTGTTTTAATGCTTCAACTTCCACAAAACCAGATTAACGTAAGCTAGAAAG